ATAATTCTCTATCCAGTGGATTTCCCAAATACTTATCCGCTGGATAGTGATTTATCCAATGGATAGCGCTATCCAGCTTTCGAACAACTGGGGCCGGGTGTTTCCATTAATAGAAACCTTAAGATTGAGGTTTGGTCATCTTACTGCAAACGACAAACTGCTTTTTGCGCTCAACGGTTTCACGTTACTTGTCTGCCCTTATTAGGTGCTTATGATTCGCGGGTGGTAGCTCGCGGCTGCCATGTTTGTTTTCATTCAATCATCCACTTACTTCTATTTTAGCTAAGAAATTGTCTTCAAAATTATTTGAACTATTTTTGACATAGAATTCGATAATCAGTAAGGAAAAGAGCTCTAGACAGTCTTATTTCTTCTTATTAAACGTGGAATTGTGATGTTTCAGGATGCAAAAAAACCTTGAGATAAACCACTTATCTCCAGTTCGTGGTCTAATCGTACAAACGTGGACCTCAAACCGCAAATCTGACGACAAGGCCCTGGTCACGTGAGTTCTTGACGTTTGCGATTCACGGGAACTGCCGAAAAACTGTACGCGCGTCTTTGTCGGGCCAGACAAAATTCCCGGTGGTTCAGAAACGTTTTGTTGTTGTTCAAGATAACCTAGAACTATGATGTAGCCTATCGGCCAGGCTCAGGTGACTAACTCGACGTGCGATTTTAATGACTTTTCATGTTGCCTGTCTATTGCGAGCTTGACGTTCCACACCTTATATTGCATTAATTTGGCAGAAAATTTTAATAACTGAAGAGAGAACACAAGCCGCGAAGTTTACAAGCTTGAGCAATCACCATTTTCCCAGGCGAGCGTTATATGCGTTAATAACCAACTTGAGGTTAGATGGCTGTAAAAAGGTATAATCGTGATGGCAACAACGGTTTTAATTTTCTTCTCTGTTATGGGAGGCAAAAAGTGAAACAGCTCGTAAATGCTTAAAACCATATCGGAAAAATACCTCGGCTAGTAGTAGGGTATAAATAAAATTTGCGTGTCTGCTGACTGCCATTTCACTGCACTGTAACCAGTCGAATGTTCCACGCAGTATTTCCCCACAGTGTCTATATTGTGTGAATTAATTATTTAAGCGCTTGGTAACTTCATTCTTTACAGTGTTAACCAAAAGCAAAGCAGGTGATATATTTACTTAAATCTTCAAAAAGAGAGAAAACAACCCTAAGTTGGATTAAAGCTCGTGCATTAATTTCGTATCAGTTGTTCCCACGCGCGTTTAAGACATGCCGCTTTTATTTTGATCGAACACACTATAGATTTTACATGAGGCAGTCAGGGTTAGAAGAGAGCGGGCAAGCCAAGGCACAGCTTGAAAAGTACAGTGATTAACATAAAAAAGGCTATTCACTTATTAGTATCCAGGAGGGACTATAGAATTTATTATCATATGAAAAAAGAACTGACTAGACACTTATAAGTATAAGGAATGCACTTATGCATATTAATAAAAGGAAGGCAAGGTTTATCTATGCTGAAGGTATACTACTTCGTTCCACTCAAAGATACAACTTGTCTGTATCTTAGCCCTAGCAACAAGGCGAGAAGTCTGTCCACGCTTATTGCGGTCAGTGTTAATAAAGACACTGAACATAAAGGATAACCTAAAACGTCGTCTGCCAAATTGGCGTGATATCAAATATCCCATCTTTCTTTCACAACAGAAGTCTAATAAGTCACAACGAAAAGTTCACAAACAGTTCATTTCACTGTTGTCCGCATGGATGGGTGTTCGTAAGCGGGTTGAATTTGGAGAAAATGTTAAGGCTGTAATCAGGGACAAAGGAAACTGTCCGTTATCAGAACGAGGTGTTTGTATTAAACTGGTGTCCGTAAAACGGGGTTTGAATGTTTTGTCATCCCGCTAAATTTATCAGGTAAAAATGACTCTTTGTTAAGTGAACTGAGCCAGTAACATCCCATGAAACAACAAAAATGTACTATAATTTTTGTACTGATCACGTTAGTTAAAATTTGTTTTATGATTAATTTTACGCACAATAAACTCAAGCAAATACATTTGAAGTCAGTTATTATGATGACTCTCCCCTGGGATGTATAAAGAGGAAGGAAGGAATGAAGGGGAAGGAATGAAGGGGAAGGGGGGGGGGGG